TTCTGAGGAAACATGCACCTCGCTTTCCTTTGGTACAAGGTAAAAGCAATTTGGAAAAATAGAATTCTCCACCGACCCCAATGACGCTACCCAGCCCCGTGTCTAACGGGCGAAAGAAGATGGAGAGTAATTCTAAAATAATTGACGAGGAAAGCATATTGAATGCGGATAACGATGGGAGTACGTAGTCGATTACAAAAGAGGTGAACGAGATTGAGGTCTGCCGCCAAGAAAACTATGAGCGGAGAGTGAAGTGCTCTAAGGGAAACATACCAGTCTGACGAGGAGTCTGACGAAGAGTCTGATGCATAATATTCAGAAGGATCGCTTCGTTCATAGAAGTCCCGGAGGAAACCGGTAGCAGACAGAGTTGCCAAGCGCGATTCGACGTGGCTGTCGAATTGTGGACCCTCGAGACGCAGTTCGATACGAGTGACTCTAGGGAAGGGGTGGCGGGCAGGGCGGTCTTCGACAGGCGAACACAGGGACTCCACCATGCCTGCGACGACGTCTCCATCCAACAGCTCGCTGTTCTCCTCTAGTCGAACAATTTGGAGGAGCGGAAGCGAAATGGCTGGGGTTGCAGAAAGGGGGTTGTATGTAAACAAGGTGAAGAAAGGGCTGTTCAGACACCTGCAATGCGTGAGGGAAAGACGGATGAGCCTGGGTAGGAGTCGAAGAAAGGTGCTGAGGCCATCGGCTCTGACTTTGAGGTTCACAAGTACCAGCTCTTCCAGTTGGAAACCCGATTGGTCATGAATATCGAGGAGAACATCCTGCGACTCGTCAGGCGCATCGAGACTGAACCATTTCAAGTTTGGGAATGAAAACGGCTGGAAAAATGTGGCAGTTGTTTCAAGGTATTTCGTAGATAACTTGATGTAGCGCATTCCGGGAAGGACACGGATGGGGAGTATCCTAGGGACGTCGGTGGAGGGCTTGATATCCGTGATGACAAGCGTCTGCAATCGTTGTGCTTGTAATACAATCTGCTGAGCAGTCACAACCTTCAATTCGACGCGGAGATCTAGGGATGTTAATTGGGACCAGGGGACCATCGACAGCAAGAGGTCGCACGATGTGTACTGCGCATGCAACGTGAGGCTCTGGAGAGTCGGTAAAGTACCGAAGGAACTGACGAGGCGGATTAGATCAGGCTGTGCTAACTGACTCGAACCGCGGATGTTGATGAAAAGTGATGTAAGGATGGGAAAGGTGTTGTCGACGGGAAGACCGGAGTTCTGGCACTCATTCCAGTTGAGTGTCAGACGAATGCTTTGTAGTTTATGACGCAAGGGTAGAACAAGATCCAGTGGCTGAAAGCGGCCGGAGGCCACGGAGTAGCTCAGCGTATGGATAGCCAAGTCAAGAGGGTGATTCCGCGCTCTGGTCGCGCACGTCCCAAGGCGACCCGAAGCGTCACGCATCGCGAGCATAGCGCCTCGAACATGAATCCGGTCCCAAAGGCGCGAAGTATTTTGCGACACCGCGCGCCAGTGGGAACAAATCTGACCGAGAACTAGGGGAGCCTGCCTGGGGTCAACCACTGAATATCGCCCCATCCCCAGGCTGTTGTTCCTGCATAAGAGGAATATTTCGGCCAGAATTTCCGGGGGAAGGCGGCGGACGGGGGAGAGCACCGCTTGCATTGCTGCGCGCAGAGTGGATGTGGACTCTCTTTGCAACTTTAATTTCCTGATTTGTTCGTCCATTTCCGCAAGGGTCACGTCGCTGCTGCGAATCCTAAATTGGATCTGAAGCCTTTCTGAGGATGTGGGAGCCTGATTGCTGGTAAGAAGTCTCGTGAGATTGGGGTCCATTTGTGTCTAGTTTGCGCTCAGATGGCGCAGTGAAGGTAACACAATTGACGCACGAGGTAGGCTACAATGGTAAACCCAGGACTCAAAGCACAGATACACGGTTCTTTTGAAGAGCCGAATTTGAACTATCGAACGAAATTGATTAGATAAAGGGAGCACAAGGTGGAAGGAGTGCCTGCCAGCGAGTGAGCCGGGCAAGGAGCCGTGAATGTGGAGTGCTTGACTTTTGGTGGTGCCGTGGACGATCTATGTTGCGCAATTTAACGGGAATTGGCACTTTGCGGGTCGTCGCCCAGCTGAAGAAGGCTCTTAATGGACGACGTCGCAAGAAGAGAAAAATGATCGATCCATTGGTAAGCTGATGTCGGAGTCTAGAGCGGAGTTTGATCGGCAGTTCATCACCCCGTTGGACCAGGGTAGCATTCGTACTGTCCTGTTGATTTGGTACGGTACAAGGACCAGTGCAAAACCAAAACCAAACCTCACTGTGTTGAGGCCATATGTAGTCAGAGGGTATGGCTACGGGGGACCCCCGTAGCCATACCCTCTGACGTCGGGGGTAGACAAGAGCCCCATCCCGATCGTGACAGCTTGAGGCAGATGAAAGAATCCGTGCTGCCTCACAACGACGATCTATGTACATGCCTGTACACACCCCATCCTGCCCGCGAAGCTCCCCACCCCATCGATAATCCCGGATCGGAAAATTTCCTCAAATGCTATATTTCAGGTTCCGTCCGAGTCTCGGACAATGTCCACGATTGGCGTCGACGGGTTCGTCGAATCAATCATTCTTCTCTGGCGGTGCGACGTTCGTGGGTCGCGAAACTTGCTGGAGCCGCGATGCGTCTCACGTACAGACCAAGGGCGAACACCCACATCTGTTTGAAACTTTGATCTAAGGTAAGATTCGCCTGCGCGCCCGCCCTTAACGATATTTAATATCCTGTTCAACTTCCCCCCGATCGTGATCGGTATCGATCTCGATCCCTCCCGATTCCCCGCAATCTACGCGGCACGCCTCTCAGGCCCGCAATCTACGCGCCTGTCGAGTCGGGTCCGGGCGAAAGGCCTGGCCAGGTGATCCGTCTTGCGATCGTCTCAGCGCGACCAATTGAATTATGTTATTCCGCGACCCGAGCCCAAGTATATGCAGCCTATTTTGTCGTACTCCCTGCGGCACCTGCCATTCCGCTGTCCGGTGTGGTATGTACGACATGCGGGCGGGGCCCGGTCCCGATCGACATTGCGCAGATGTGAGAAATAATCCACATACACCGGTGCCTTACAACGACACGCCCCATCCTGCCCGCAAAGCATCGATGACCCCGAATCGGCAAATTTCCTCAAATGCCTGCACCGATCGCAATCTTACATACAGGTCGAGCGAGCTCACGATTGGCGTCGTCGGACCTAGATCAATCATTCTTCTCTCAAGCTGTTCGTGAGTTGCGAAACTTGCTGAAGCCGCGATGCGTCTCTAATATCTCTCATTAAATATAGAGGGCGAACGCACGACACTATTATCTGTCTGAAACTTTGATCTAGGCAAGATTCACCTGTGCCTTCACTGTTAAGATAATATCGAGACAGAAGCTCAACTTTCCTCGATCGTGATCAGTATCGATCCCGATCCCTCACAATCTACGCGGCGCGCCTCTCAGGTCCGCAATCTACGCGCCTGTCAGGTCCGTGCGAATGGCCAAGGCGGGTGATTCAGATCCGTCTTGTGATCGTTCCAGCGCAGCCAGGTATTCCGCGTCGCCCGAAACAACTTGCCTCCCGAAGCCAAGTCTAAGCTCCAGCCGATTTTTCTCACCCTGCTGTCCCGGGGCCCGGTCCCGATCGACATTGAGCAGATGCAAGGGAGAATCTACATAAATACACCGGTGCCGCAGACACGCTTGACACGCCCCATCCTGCCCGCGAAACCATCGATAACCCCGAATCGGAAATTTTCCTTAAATGCCTACGCCGATCGTATGTAGTCTTACATTGCGCGATTCGCGTGTTCGAAGCTGTGTGTGTATTTAGATCCAGGAGGATTCAGGGGACTCATTCTTTCTATTGTGGGGTGCGCAACGTTTGGTGAGTCTTGAATCGCAACGTTCGTGCAGGTCCCGCACATTTGAATTGTTGCCACTCGGTCGACAGATCTTGCTAAAGCCGGGTATGTTTTGATTCAGCTGTAACACTTCCACGTTCGAATTATTGAACATTCGACGACGCTGATAGGTTAAAACATTTTGCTGATGCATTAACGTTAACGTTATAGATAAGTGGAATCTGCTCATACTTCCCCTCGATCGTGATCGGTATCCCTCGCGATTCCCCACGGAGCGACGTCCATAATCTACGCGCCTTTCAGGTCCGCGATCGCGCATCAATCTACGCGACGCGCTTCGCAAGTCGGGGTTGATCCGTCTCAACGTGAGAGTCCTCCCACGTCCCGCCTGCCTGCCGGTTATCCTCCTCACTTGGAACTTGCTGCCTGCACGGCGTTTCTGGGTATATATATTTCCGCCGTCACTGAAATAACCCACCTCTAAAAATAAATACGCGCTCCAAGTATTCCTCCAGTACTTACTTCTATTCTTCGACGCGCCAACTTCTGAATTAATGCCACGCTTGCCACCTTCCTCACCCACGCTGATCATCGCTCCTCCCCCGGCTCGGCGGCCGCATCGAAGCGCCCATCTACGAGAACGCGTCTCCCTATGTAGCACGAATTCTTCAGGGGGGCTCCGCACATCTGTACATTGGTTACGCCATCCCCAAGTAAGCTCCAAGTCCAAACTCCAAACTTCGCGTAGGCCTGAATTAATTAATTCTTTTCTTCTCGAATTCCTTCCGGCGCCACCTGCAAGCCTTACATGCTCCATCCAATCCTAAGCACCGGCGTTAATCTTGATGTTCATATTACAACATGTATTTATTGGCGATGGGGAGATCTAGAAACTGTGTGTTTGCGAGAGTGAATGGCTGAGAAATTTGAACGCACCGTCTCGGCGGATACTAAAAGTGGTGAATAAATATTAGCGCTTACTGATTGAAAGAAGAGCCAGGACCCTCTTGTGTCGGAGGCATGAAACACAATGTACAAGCGGGAAAAGGATTCAGACAAAGCAGTGGAATTTTGTATTACGTTATTTTATGTAAAAAAAGAAATGCAAAAAAAGATGGACAAGTGGCGATTCGAACGCCAGACCTCCCGCAATCACACAAGATCACATATATGCGAAGCGGGCGCAATAACCAACTATACTACATGCCCTGTGATGTGCTCTCGTAGAGGTGGGGTGAACGGTTGGGATTAGTGCACCTTTTTCAAAAACCTAAGTATGTGTCTCCAACCATGATGAAGAAAAAAAAAATTGAGCAATACAAATAAAATATCAGGACGCAGAATGAATGGAAGAGAAAACAAAAAAGAATGGACAAGTGGCGATTCGAACGCCAGACCTCCCGCAATGACCCACTGGTTTGATCCTGCATGCGAAGCGGGCGCAATAACCAACTATACTACATGCCCCATGGCTGGCTGGCACCCTCATACGGCTTGGATGTTCAGCTTTTCAGGTTCACCCTGCGCGGTACCCAATAAGTTCACGGTTGAGGGTCTGCGGGGGAGGTTTTCATTTAAATCTACTTGCTCAAGTAGCTAGACTCCGTCCGCCCCAAGGCTTTTTCAATATTTCGATTCGAATTACTCCCACCCCAAACTTTCGCTCCACTGATTCGCGAGGGTTGCCTGGGCCCCTCATGTGATGCTGAGATGCTGCTCAAGCGTGAGCCGGTTCCTAGTGGAGAGTACGGTCCGAACGTCCGACCCTTGGGTTGATTGTTCGATATGTGCACCGGGCTGAGTGGGCCGTTGCACGCCTAGTAGTTTATTTTTTGCTTCGTGCTACGCGAACCTGAAACGCATGTCCATGCAGTCCGTAATATCTCTGCGTCGTGGTAACATGTTATCGAAGAGACGCTGGTCTGTACCCGAACTGACGCCGGTGGAGAACCACTGAGAGGGACCCGAATATCCATTCACCATCTAGGATTCTCGGCGCCCGGGACGGGCTCCCGTACCATATGTTCCGCATCTTCTCGGAGGCTACATCAACGAATTCGCTTGCAAGCGAGAGTAGGCTGCCATCAAAAAAAGATTTGCGGGTACCCCGGCCCGCATCATGTTATTTCTTTTTGTTTTTTTTGTTTTGTGATTATCTGTGTAACATAAAGACAAAACAGAAACGGGTAGTGAATGTTCTGCGTTGCGACGTCGTGTGTACAATACGCGCATGAAAAGCGGAGATAAATAATAACCTCACAAACGTTGTGGTATAAGGAGATACTGCAGCCTCGACCTTCGAATTCGAGGCCAAGGCGCTGATAATTGCAATCTACGCGGTCGGCAGGCCTGACACGCCCTCGCATAGATGGCGTCGGCTAGGATTGGGGTAATTAAGGTGGATGGAATAAACGCGCTGGGGTAATTAGTGGAGGGACACGAGGAGTCAGTGTCGGCGCCCTAGTTCACAGCCAGACAGACAGATAGACAGACGGACTGGGACGTACACGAGGAGGGGGGGAGATCTTAGACGCCTTTCCCCACAGCAGCTGTGAAGACAGTGAAATGAAATCTGCGAAGTAGACTCCAAAGAAAGAATTCGAAGAGTTCTTCTCCAAAGAAGATCGCCAGGCAGGCTCGCTCAGACATCCACCATGCATGTGTAGCTTCGCAACGAGTTGGGTTAGCAAGGCCTTCCCCTTCCGACTGATGCCGGGTGCTAGGCCAAAACGTGCCTCGAGGCGCCGGGGCCGGCGAGCCGATGGCATCACGCGTGCGTCGCGGCGCCTCGAGGCCTCGCTAAGCAGCCTGGGTTCAGGGTTAACTGCTGCAAGGCGCCTGGCGCGGGCTGCGACGACGCTCTCTGCTGCGGCGGGGGCGCGCGCAGTAGTAAATAATATTGTAGCGGGAGTATGCATACACGGTCTACTACTACGCAGCTATCTCGCGGTATAATATATTATAGTAGTAGTAGCTGTATGTAGAAGGGAGGAACGTGCCGGGGTTGGTGCCAGATTGGGTTTGAATTTGGATTTGGAAGGGGTGTTATAACGAGTGTTGTTGTGCGGTGACTGACTTTTGCTTCCTTTTTCCGTGTGCTCTGACTACCTCTGTGTGCTCGCTCTCGTCTCGTCTCCGCCTGATTCTCCTGTTTTCTGCGTCTGTGAATGCCCTCTATCCTCAATCTCAAGTTCAAAGTCTGTAGCTGCTACTCGACAGCGCAGACACTGAGCTGACTTGACCCTTTGACTTTTTTTTTTCGCCACCTCACTTCATCCCCCCCGCTTTGACGACGCTGTTCCTCGCCACCTTCACTACACTAGGGCAACAAGTCCTTCGTGGCATTCAGTAATCTCAATGACACCGAGTCATTGACCAAGACCTGGAAGGTCGGCGGCGCCCGCTCTCCGACTGGCTGCCCGACTTACTCACCCTTTGTGTGTATTGCAGGTCTGTACCAAGGTCGCGTCGTACCTCGAGCAGGGGCAGCGCCTCGAGAACCTGTCCTGGCGGTGAGTCCCGTCTGCCATGCCGTCGCTCTGTCCTGTCCCGGCCCGTTGACGCCGGCTGCACCTGTCCCGACGGCGGCGGCTCTTACCCCCCCCCTCCCCCCTGACGCTGACTCGCCACCCAGACTATGGCACCTCCAGAACCTCATGGTCGACACCGACAACGCAAAGTCCAAGCGCGAGTTCAAGAAGCTCTCAAAGTGCATGGGCGACAAGCTCGACAAGGAGAAGGGCCGGTATGTCGATTTCTTTCTTCCCTTTCATGTATCCCGCCACCTCCCTTTTTTTTGTTCGTTATTATCTTCTTATCCCATTTCGCCGACATGCGCGCACGACGCGGGTGCATTGGCGTGCTCCCCCGACGAGCGCGGCGTCGTCTGCCGTGCGCACCCCCCGTCCTTTTACATTTCTTGTCGTTCCTATCCCTTGCAGGCACTTCTATTTCTTTGTATCGTATCGTATCGCACCCCCTCCCCTGAGCTATCATATTTCTTCCCAACCCTTCCCACTTTCTATCGCCTACCGCTTCCTGCCGCGTCTTCCCCCTTCCTCCCTCAGCATGCCCCTCGTCTCGTCCCCCTATTTCTCGTCCCAACTTTTTATCCTCCACCCACCCCGCCCCACCCTCCGCTCGCTCGCCTTTCCTCCCTCCCCCGCTTTTCTCCCCCTCCGCCCCCCGCGCCCCTCATCCGCCTACTTCCTTCCTTCCACCCGCCCTGTTCCCTTCTCGCCTCCACCTATCCGCCCTTCTATCCTTGCCCCCCGCCCCCCGCCCCTCCTCTCTCGAATACTTCCTTCCTTCTCCCCGGCGCCTCTCTCCCTCCATCCCCTCCATTCCTTCCGCTCCCCACCCTCTACATTCCCTCCCGGTGCGGAGCGAACGGAGAGAATTCGCTCCACACCCTCCCGCCTCCCATTTCCATTCCTCATTTTCTTTCACATCCCATCCCCCCTTCTCGCGACAACTCTACCCCCCCCCCCCCCTTTTATTATTATTATTAATGTACCGACATCTGCGCCGTCCACCCCGTTTTCATTCTTTATGCTTTATTCTCCTTGCCCTCTTTCTCCACTCCTCCCTCCCCCCCTCTAAAATAAAACTCAAACTTACAACCTCCCTAAAGGTCGATCGAATCCCTCCCCCTCCCCGCCTACACGCGCACCCCCTCCTCGGACCTCCTGCGCCAGCGCGCAGCCGAGAAGGCAGAGCGCGACCGCGCGCGCGAGCTCGGCTTGGGCGGCGCCCATGTGCTCCAAAGGATGCAGTTTACGTTCATGGTCGAGCCCAACAATACCAACACTGCCAATAACAACGCGAGTGGGGCGAACGGCGGGAATAATAATAACAACGGCGGGAACGGGAATAATGCGAACAATGGCAATAACAATGGCAACAACGGCAACGGGAACCCCAGCGGCGGCAACGCGATGCAGCTCGACCCGCTCCCGATGCAGGTCGACGCGCCGGCGCCGGCGCCCGCGCGCGGGTCGCTCAAGCGTCCCGCGCCGGACGATTCCAACCGTGCGGGCAAGGCCACCCACGCCTCTTCCTCCCAGGGCAACGCCACCAACGCCACCAACAATACGCGCAACGTCAACGCCAACCCCACCACCGCGCGCACCGCCAACTCCACCGCGAACAATAGCAACAATAACACGGGCAACAACAACAACACCCTCACATCGACGGCAGCAGCAGACTCGGACTACGATGAGAGCGCCGCTGGGAGCGACGGCGGGCCGACCCTGCGCTTCCCCGCTTTGTTCTCGGGGTCGTTCGCGCCGGCGGCGTTGTTGTACCCGCCGCCGACGCTGGCGCCGAGGAGGAATTATGGGGAGGCGCATGTGCATTATGGGGCGGCGGCTTCCAAGGGCGGCAAGGCTGCGTCGTCGACCAAGGGGTATGAGGAGTACGACCAGCATGGGCGGCGCGACGACGACGAGGATAATGAGAAGGATGTGGAGGGGGGGAGCGATACGTGGAGGGTTGCGCGGCCGACGATTGAGCTGGGGCTGGATGAGTTGATTGGGGAGGCGTTGGGGGAGATGAGGGCGGAGGAGGAGGCGGAGGAGGAGAGGAGGAGGGGGGAGCGGGAGCAGCACCAGCACTCGCAGCAGCAGCAGCAGCAGCAGCAGCAGCAGCAACAGTATAGGGGGGAACGTGGGGAGCAGCGGTATGGGGAGCGGGAGCGCGGTGGGGGGTGGGGGTACGACGCGTCGGTGGGGATGGCGCCGTCGGCGTTTATGATCTCGCATGCGCAGCATGGCCACAATGCGCATGTGCAGGACACCCACGCCGCCCACGCCGCGCGCCAAGACGACCTGGATCTGGACCTGGACATCGACGCGGAGCTGAAGGACGCGGCGATGACGCCGACACCGCCGAGTCCGCGCCTGAGCCCGAACGCGTATTTTCTGCAGGAGATCGAGGAGGAGGAGGATGGGGACGATGACGCGGATTATCGGGGGGAGGGGGAGATGGGGCAGGAGGTGGATGTGGATTTGGATTTGGGGGCGGAGGAGGGGGAGGAGGGGGGGACGCCGCATGCGCAGCAGCATGCTACGCATCATGCGCATACCGCCAGCGCCCACACCCACACCCACACCCACGCCCACGCGCACAGCAGCAGCCGCACGAGCAGCCACACCGCGCACCTGCAGCGCCCCACCGCGCACAACGCCTACGCGGACGCGTACGAGCGCTTCGAGAGCTCGGACGACGAGGACGTGGCGGACGACGACTCGAACGATAGCGACTTTTTCGAGATGCGGAGTGCGCGCGCGCCGAGGCGGAGCCATGGGGGCGGCGGCCAGCAGGCGCATGCTGCGCATGCGGGCGGGGGGCGGCCGGTGCTGACTGTGCGGACGGGCGGGGCGACGAAGGGGAGTGGGGGCGGCGCGGGGAAGTATGGTGGTGGGGGTGGGAGGACGGCGAAGCGCGCGGGGGGGGCGGGGAGG